CCAGAGCTTGCCAGAGAGGTGTTGAGTTCTCCCACTCTGGAGACATTCAAAACCCACCTGCTCGCCGTCCTGCGCAACCTGTTGTAGGTGACCCTGCTCTGGCGGGGGGGTTGGACTAGATGATCTCCAGAGGTCCCTTCCAACCCTGACCATTCTGTGATTCTGATTCTGTAATCATTCCTCTTTGTAAGAGAGCTACATATATTCCCATACGCCATTTAATTTTATGTAAGGACTTAAAAGTAAGGAACTGGGTTTGATTCTTACGGTGCAGTGGGTTTTTGGTTTTGGGGTTTTTTTTGGTTTTTTTGGGTTTTTTTTTTTTGGGGGGGGGGGCGGGGGGGGAGTATTTCTCATTGTATTAAAAAAATTATGCGGTTCATTCATGATGACAAGTCAACGCTTCATCATCCCCAGGTGCTCTCCAAGGGTCGAGAAGAAGAGGAGATGAACGTCCCCCCGAGGGAGTGATGATGCTGGAAAGGACCACCTTGGGGTTGGAAAGAGCTCACTGGAGTAACACATAGAAATATGAGCTCAGCTCCCATCAATTTACAGCCTATTTTCACACGTAGAAAATTGTCATCAAGGTACGGCAGTGAGAGCTCAATTTTCTGCCTGAGCATGGCAAAGGACTTGGAGATTTGAGACGGAAAGCACAATATTGAACAGATTATTTTTACTACAGTCTTCAGGACCCTTTTACCGCATCAACCACTTCCCCCCAGTATGAAAGAAACATACTGGTGGATGAAATTAAAAGACTAATCTAAAAAGCACAGAGAAGACTTCCTAGCAAAATATGTGGATACAGCAAGAATACGTAAGATGATGTTCTACAAAAACAAACCCAAAGAAAGCTACTTTCACTTACAGAAGAAGAACTAATTTCACTTGAACAGGCCATTTCCGAAGGCAGCAGTTATTTAGGTTTGTATGGAGTTATCCCACTCACTGTCACCTTTTGAGTTCCAAGAAGCAGCTACAGAGTTGAGCGGAAAACCGTAAGCTTCAGGAAATCCTCGGGGAAGCACAAAGTGCTCAAATTCAATATAGCTTCTATTTCACAGCAAACCCTAAAAAGCCGTGAAGTGAAAGATTAGAGTTAAAAATTCTCACGACGCAAGATGGTATTAGTCAGAAAAAAAGCCAACAAGCGTTTGTTTTGATTAATTCAATAAGGATTTTCTATATGAGAGCTGCTCAAAGTTGGAGGCGGTTACCAATAATGACTTTTAACTGCTTCGCAATTTGGAAGTGCTTTTTTTTATTAAAAAAACCCCAAATTATTTAAAAGCTCATTTAACATTTGCATTCAAACTTGGTTTATTCCCAATAAAGCCGTTTGAAGCACAGATCACAGGAGACACGCAAGACTGCGGGCGCATCTCTTGCTACAAAACCTGTTTCTTCCAGAAGCATATAAGGCGACACGAGGCACGGCCCTTGTTCGTCAAAACAAAACTAAACCTTGCTTTTTTTTAAAGCTAATGAATATGAATTTCATACGCAGTCATTTAAACGCCTTTTATCCCAGTTCTGCTAATGAAGGGGTGTTTCGATTCCAGCGCCTGTTTCTTATTTTGCAAATTTGAATGTAAAGTTACTACACACAGACGAAACGGCTGTTATAAAGTTTCTCCTGTTTCTACTTGAAACAATCCGAAGGAATGCAAGAAGGTGATGGAAATTACGTCCTTTCATAAAAGCCTCCCCCTAAATCAGTTTGAACACGAAAGCATCGTCCATTCCTGCAAAGCATGGCCGAATCGCCCCCTCCAGACCCACAGCGTTCTCCGAAGGAAAGGTTTCACCCGTAGGAAACGCGAGCAATTCCTCAGCGAGGCTGTATTTTACATTCCCAACTCGCAATGGAGAGGCAGCTCTCCGTTAGTCCCAAGTGACCTCCTCGCTACCGAAAGGCAGTGTCACAACGTTTCTATCGCAAACAGCGGATCCCCATGACACCGT